CCTCACAACAATACGTGAGCCACCACAGTACGACAGTTCATCCAACACATGAGTGTGCCCTAATTAACCATTCTTCTTCCAATGTGACGTTCATTTTCACTTTTCAGTATTTGTTTACCTAATTTTTTCATTTCAAAAGTTTTGTTAGTAAATGCTCTTAAATGTTGAATTACAAATCTACTTCTGATTCAATTTCTTATCTTCCAGTTATCTTTTTGATGTACATTTTGTTAGAGAGCACTAATACTTTTCATGATCAATTACATTAAGAAAATAAAAGTTTGTTCTAGTCTCTCAATTAGAAGAGAAACTGATAACTAAATGCATGCCTATTGAAAGTAAAATCCTGGAGTGTGGTGAAATGACAAAAATGCAAAGCAAGTAAGGCACAATGTGGGGTGTTGTCAAGTATACTCACTCCTCAGTTATCAACATGGTTAGGTTCCAAAGATCAAGCTGTTATGTGAAAATCACCATTATGCAAAAATGGAGGATGACCACATTAGATCACAAAATGGAGGATGACTACATCATTACATCACTGCCAAATTACATCATTATGTAGCCGTCAAATGTCATCAGTACGTAAACACCAAATTACATCATTACATAACTGCCAAACCACTGAGTATGATGGCACAGCCACGTTGACACATAAACTTAGCCATCACAGCCAGCATTATTCATGCATCTCAGCATTCCTTACTGCCAGATGTATGTCCTTAATGTGCAAAACAGTCAGATAGTAGTTTTTCACTATTTTTGTGAATGTGAAATGTCCGATAACAAGATACTTGATAAGTAAGTGTAATGATTTCTTTTAGTTTTCTACAATACACTTCAGAATTTGCTTCTGCTTTGTTTCATGTTGCATTCCTTTCATTGTTGCTGTTGTTAGTTTCTATTATGGGTTGAACTATGAAACAATTCTACTCTGTAACACATAGGGTCATCATGAGTAAGGGCTCAACTCAACAGTAGCTAACAGCAAAAACAACATTGTAGTTTGAATTGCATCTTCCAATAAGATATGTTAAAGTCCTAAACCCTGACACCTATGAATGTGACCTTATTTAGAAATAGGTTGTTCTGGTTACCTAGTGCCACTCTGACAG